TTTTTTTCTTTTTACAAAATATATTTCTATAAATTATTAAAATAATTTTAATAATCATAACACGCAATGCTTTTTACAGGTATGGTTGGATTTATGAATTGCATCCTTCTCGAAGAAGGTGGTGCAGAAGCGTCTTACATTTTCATTCAAGATAAGAATATGCCCAAATTTAGCTTAAGTAATAAATTTTATGCTGAACAACTGGACAAACAGTTGATCGCTAACGTTCTGCGAGGAGGTCAATGGGGATCCTACAAACATATTGAATTAGACCAGCAAAATAGAGAATCTCTTCAAGTTGAACACGCTTACATTAACGCTTTGAATAGAGGTGATCTGAGCAGTTTAAGATGGATTGAAAGTTCATTGAGCTACTATCAGCCAGAAAAATTCCCAAACACTGAGTTGTGCTCTGTATACTATGCTCCATTAAACTTCAGGGATATCATGTTGGCGACTGGAAAACTGCCACCAGACGCTCTTCCCGGAAATTTAGCTTTGCAAGATTGTATACTAGGTCTTGAATTTTCTGGACGTGACTCCAAGGGTCAACGAATTATGGCTATGGTGCCAGCACGTGGTTTGGCGACTACTGTTATAGCTGATCCTGGTTTCATGTGGAAAGTACCTGACAACTGGTCTTTAGAAGAAGCAGCGACCGTTCCAGTTGCTTATGCTACTAGTTATTATGCTCTCTGCGTTCGAGGTCGTATGAAGCCTGGTGAGAGTGTTCTGATTCACGCTGGTAGCGGAGGTGTCGGGCAAGCGAGTATCTCCATAGCCTTGCACGCAGGATGCAAAGTATTCACTACTGTTGGGACACAAGAAAAGCGGGACTTCTTGAAGAGAATGTTCCCTGTATTGACTGACAGGAATATCGGCAACTCTCGAGACACTAGCTTCGAGCAGCTGATACTTAATGAAACTAACGGACATGGCGTAGATATAGTGCTGAACTCGCTAGCCGAAGAGAAACTACAAGCTAGCATCAGATGTCTCGCTCAAGGTGGTCGTTTCCTTGAAATTGGAAAGTATGATTTATCAAGAGATTCGCCTCTAGGAATGTCTGTGTTTCTGAAGAACGCGTCTTTCCATGGAATACTTTTGGATGCCATCAGTGAAGATGATGGACCAGAAAGACGAGAAGTTGTAAAACTCGTCAGTGAAGGAATAAAGAATGGTGCTGTTCGTCCACTTCCTTCCACGGTCTTTTCAGAACACCAAATTGAACAATCATTCAGATATATGGCTACTGGTAAACATATTGGTAAAGTTTTGTTGAAGATTCGAGAGGAGGAAACGAAGAAAGTTGTACAACCAGCACCGAAGGTTGTTTCTGCTATTCCACGAACGTACTTTAATCCTGAAAAATCATACGTATTAGTTGGTGGTCTCGGTGGATTTGGTTTGGAACTCGCATATTGGATGGTCTTACGTGGTGCAAAATACATAGTCTTAACATCGAGATCCAAAGTACGTACTGGCTTCCAGGCGTTGTGCATTCGTCGCTGGCGCAATATGGGTGTGCAAATAAAGGTTTCGACAGCAGATATAACAACATTGGATGGAGCGAAACAACTTATGCGAGAAAGTAGTGAATTGGCACCAGTTGGTGGTATATTCAATTTGGCAGCTGTTTTGCGAGACGGTCTGATTGAAAATCTGACTGAATCTGACTTCGTAATATCAGCGTTACCTAAGATTGTCGGAACCAAGAATCTGGATATAATATCGCGCGAATATTCCTCGTTAGATTACTTTGTTGTATTCTCATCTATTACAAGCGGAAGAGGCAACTTGGGCCAAACTAATTATGGTCTTTCAAATTCTGCTATGGAAAGAATAATGGAACAAAGACAAGCAGTTGGTTTACCTGGTCTTGCTATTCAATGGGGAGCCATTGGCGATGTTGGTATAATTTTAGGTAAATTTTTTTTTACTGTTATTAAGAGAGTAATTTCATGAAATATTTGGATATATTTACTATAGTCTTTTTCTTTTTTCTTCTTTCTTAACAGAAAAAATGGGTGCTTTTAACGATACTGAGATTGGTGGTACTTTGCCGCAGCGCATACAAAATTGCCTTGATACAATGGATATATTTCTTCAACAGCCACATCCGATTCTATCCTCGTATGTTGTGGGAAATAAAAACAACTCCGCAGAAAATGTAAACAAAGTTAGTGTTGTCCAAGCAGTGGCTAATATTTTGGGCATTAAAGCAGTAGAATCGGTTAATGGTAATACTACTTTAGCTGATCTGGGAATGGACTCCTTGATGGGAACAGAAATTAAACAAACTCTTGAGAGGAACTATGATGTAGTGTTATCTGCTCTTGAAATTCGTAATTTAACATTCGACAAATTAGGAAAATTAGACAACTCTTCTACAGAAGAAACAAAAGATGATGATGACGAAACTGAGGAAGTAATGATGCAGGACGATGGTTTACTCTTATTTGAAGATACGGAGATCGTACCTGTCGAGGTTGTTGTCTCATTGAAGACAGCGAGTTCGAGCGGGCAGCCATTGTTCTTCGTTCCCGCTATTGAAGGAGTTATTGCACCATTCAAAACTTTGGCTGGTGAATTAAACCGACCTGCTTGGGGTTTCCAATGTGTAGAAGATAGTCCGTTAGAATCTGTATCGGCGTTAGCTAATTTCTACGTGAAGAAAATGCAGAAGATCCAAAGTCGAGGACCATATAATATAGTAGGATATTCCTTCGGAGCTTGTATCGGATTTGAAATGGCTGTTCAATTAGAGAAAGCTGGGCACAAGACAAACTTAACTCTCATTGACGGTTCACCGGATTTCCTGAAATTACATTCTCTGGAACTTGGAAAGCGTGCTACTGAAGATACTTCAGAAGTGATTGCGGACGGTTTACGAAAGGCTTTATCGTACTTTGTCAGACAATTTAATAACAAGATTACGTTCCTTCAGGTATTTCTGAATATACTGTTTCATAATTTTATTGTGTATGCTTATTTTTTTTTTCTATTTTCTTTTTCCTAGGCATACGAAATGTTGAAACAATTATCCACTACTGACGACGTATTAAACAAAGTGGTAGAAATAATAAATGAACCTAATGTGAAATCTGAAGATTTAAAAGTTGCTGGTCTACTATTTTACAAGAAATTGAAAGTGGCTTTCTTCTATGAACCAGAGAAATATAATGGAAATATTCTATTGCTTAGAGCTCAAGATAACTTTGTCCCTCTATATAATGACTATGGTTTATCAAAGGTAATTATTACGTTTACATAAGAAACATTAAGTTAGTCATATAAATATATTCCATTTTTTAATTTCTTATATGTTCTTATAGATTTGCAATAACGTGGAAGTTAGAGAAATACCTGGAAACCATAGGAGTATTTTAGTAGGAAAGAACGCATCACAAGTTGCAAATGTTTTAAGATTGTAAAAAATACGTCTCGACTTCTAAAATTATTTGAGAATTTTCTATTAATATCATTACTTAAATGTACATAAATGTTGCATAGATATATTTCAAAGAACTCTCAATGTACATTGATATTGATGAAGATCATGAAAACTTAATGTTTAATATTTAATGATTCCTATATTTTTCTGTGAAATTCCTTTTGTACAAATATCTCTTCGTTAGGTCCCTATATGCATTGTTTATATCATTTGTATTATTAAGTTATATGGCCAATTTCTCTACTTTCTAATCGTAAATATCTCGAGTTGTGAAATGAAAAATAAGTATCAAGTTAAAAGAATGATTTCGTTTTTTTAAATTATGCACACATAAATTGTTATTATTATATGTTCATAATACACTTCAGAAACATTTATATATACTATAGGTTTTTGTAATGGTTTTATGGTGGACGATTACCATTATTTAAACATATATACATATAGTGTCCATATATACACTTAACAGTTTATTAAATTTTACACAATGTCATTATTATTTTGAATTCAAATTTTTTAAACATTTACTTCTTTTCTAACAAATAGAAAAAAATGTACAAAAAATATTTAACAAAGATAACAATTGACAACAGTTATACATTTTTTCCACTCTTACACTTTTGAATAGTGTATATGTTAAATCTAATAAGATAGAAACATTCCAGTGATCAATACATATATATCCTATATATATTTATACACATTCACAATATATTGCACATAACATACTTAATGCTTTGTCAAAAGCAACTATTTATACTATATTTTTTCATTAGCAATAATTCATGTTCATAATTATAACTATACATGTTCATAATTATCTTAATTGTCATTAAACGCATACATTATGGATTTGTCATATGTTCTTGTATCATATCAATAAGTAAATAAAAAATAAATTATCAACTTAAGTTCATTCTCTTACAATCCAATAAATTTTTATACAATACTGATATCATATAAGTATCTAATGTATGTATACACATACACACACACACAAACAAAATGTTTTAAAGTAAAATATTTTATTAAAAGGAACATTTTAAAGATAAATTTTCAATATAAAATTATAATGAATATATAATTTTTTATTTATAGAATGATTTTATTTTTCTTGTTTTAGTCGATGATTTGGATCAGAAATTGCAGCATTTGGATCACATGTAAAAGATATGGTCAACGCATATCGAGTTCCCGATTGTACTTTTTCAACTACGTGTAAATTCTCACTACCTGAAGTAAACATAGATACCCTACCTACAACATAAATTTAAACTAACATTACTTTTCTTTCATCAACAGTACTGTTTTTGCAATTATTATTTACCTTTGCGGGGTTCTACTATAGTTTTCACATTATTTTTATCGATAAACATAAATCGGCCTCCTTCAAAATCCTTTCCAAAATCATTCAGATAAAGTAAAGTTGTATAGTGAAAAGATTCATATGTTTCCTGTAACAAAAATTTCAATTTGAAAAAGAAATATAAATTATTTAATCATAAATAATTTATATACCTTATCAATGTGAGGATGCCAGTATTCGTCATGTATCGTTTTTGCAGACACATTAGTCATTTGAGAAAAAAAAGTTGGCTTTGTTAAAAATATTTTGTTCGAAGGTATGCCAAAGTTATGTGCTACTGCATGTTGTATTTTAGTTTTTACTACTCTGTAAATGTTATACAATTACAACGTAAAGTTAATTTTATTTTTAAAAACTATAAAGAACTTGCATACTTATAAATTGCAAAATCAGCACTATTGAATATCTTTTTTGCTTCTGGTAAAGTATAAATGTCTATAAAACCTTGACCTTTACTCAGTGCACCAGAATGAAGATCCAAGATACTTGCACCTCCATCAGAACCACCAAAATTCAAACCACTTACTGCTATTTTCAATAAGACATCAGTTTCTGTTGACGATACTAATTTATCTGTAACTATCCTCCCACATTTTTCAGGTGCACAGTCAGGATATTTACTTGTCTCTGTTTTATAATCACTTGAACATCCAACATTCAATGTGCGACTTAATAAAATCTCTTTTTGTTTTGCTAAGTAAATCTCTTTTCCTTGTCTGCTGCCATACCAAACTATAAATAATACTGGAAATATCAGGGCAGAACGAGACCATACTCTTTGATAAGGAAATCTTATAGAAGGTCCATATTTTCTGCAAAATAATAGTATTATATAAATTTTCAAAATAACGGGTCATAATTATATTGATAAAATGATTTGAGAAAAATTAATTACAAACTAATTTTTATACATATGAACTTTTTAAGATATACTAAAAAAGAAACAAAAATAACATACAATAAATAATACGTGTCATATTGTAAACATACGAAAATAACATTAACCTATGAAACAATATTACAAAAAATACTAATAAACATTAATAAATTCTATAAATTCTATAACATTAATAAAATCTATAATCATATATAATTTGTTAAGTTAATGCTTTACATAAATGAATTGCGTTTTCAATAATATTTTTACACTTTTTTTAAATTAGATTTTTATATTACATACAACTTAACATTGTCAGTTGTGTCTTTTTTCACATATTCTTCAGTTTTTTTTTCCTTTTTCTGACTTCTTTTTTCTTTTCCTACTTGTTTCTGTTTTACTTTCTTAGTTTCTTGTGTCATTTTCAATACAATTTCTTTAACAGTGCAATACTTGCATGAAAGGCCTGCTTTCTCTATAATCTATTCTATAGTATGTATATTGTATAGTTATCAAGTATGTAGATATATACTTACTACGCAGAACAAAATTCAAAAAATGACTTAAATAATTAAAATACAAACTCGGTGTGAAAATTTGAATAGTATAAACTATCTGCATACGTAAAAGAATGTGAACTTTTTTAATACGTATAATTTTTCAATTCGACGATTTTAATATGCTATTTAGAAATCGATACGCCCTCTTTCATCACAGATATAATTCAAAAGCTTGAGAGCTGTTATGATGTCGCAAAACTTGTTTACTTGCATTCTTGTACTTAAAGGTATCCTTACATCATATTATTTTCTACCTATGAACGATTTTATTCATAAATTATTTTCGATTATCTTTGATGAGCTTATAAATGAATCAGCAACAGTCATTTGAAACTTAAATCAACTGTCAACTCCTGTTTAAAAATGTTTCAAATTTGTTTAATAATTGGTAAATTTTACAAGCAACTGTTTGTAATACCGATCGTACGATCTTCTTACAATTCATGTGCAAAATTTCTTCAAATAATAATAAATCTTTTGCTAATGATACCACTTCCGTTTATTCTTGTACAATAATATTGTACAAGGATCGTTTGGTGTAGTTGCAGCATTCGACGTTCGTTTCATTTTCATCAATGAGAAAATACCTGATTAGCCGACGAATCGTCACAACAAGGGTTAAAACAACCACCAATAGTATAACTTTCAAGTTAGTACCTGTAACCATGGCTACATACAGTGTAGCATGGCCGCTCGATTAACAGTTTGCAAAGGAGCATTGCGCAGAAAGGTATCACGTACGTGGAATGTTGGTGAACCAGATGGTTTTCGTCGTAAGTAAAAATTAAAAATCCTTATATGATGTTCGCGTATTTGAAGTTGTAGTGTGTGCTGGAATTTTTAATGAGTGACGACACCATCAATTCCTAGCACTTCTGCTCAACTTAAATTTAAGTCCTTCTCTCGAAATTTCAAAATTTCGTCGCATACTCGCGCTGAAATATAATAATAGTTTCGAATAGTTCGCGTCTTGTAAGTAAATTAAATATAATTGGAAAATAGTAACAGACACAGCACGATGTTATCGTTGATTGATCAATTTCATTTCTTACGTATTTCCTTGCTATTCGTGTAACGGTAGCAATTGAAAGAAATCGAAATATATCGATCAGGAATTCATCGTAATGAGACTTTTATTGTGTTTACGTAATTAAATTCAATTTCTCTGTCTCTGAAATTCAATTATTGTTATTAATTTGTATCATTGTCAGACAAAGTATTTTTCTTAAATGTGATTGTGTTACAGGAATTTTCAGTTCTGATAATCATCTGAATGAATCAGGATTTACTCAAAATTTAAACAAAACAACAAAGATAATTAGAAGTGTATTGACGACCGTAATAATACAGAAAACGACCAAGATTTTTTTAATAGAAAGTCAGAATTATGATATGACTGACTGTAGGATAAAAAATTAACAGTTTTTATCAAATTTTCATGATTATTTCTCAATATTATTAATTATATCTCATATGAAATATTAAAATATAATTAGATATAAATAAATAA